GCAAATTGAACTGAAGTAATTTTACACAATACAAAGCAAGCCATTAATTAAATTGGTACTAACCAGCTTGCCTTTGAGCACAGTACATATGTGCTTTTATCTTGATTATTCCCCTGGCGGGGAACATGTTCTGTCCGGACATCCAAGATGAGGCAAAACGTGTTTTTGGAATAAAATGGATTGGCAATTGAAACAAACAATGAAATTTAGGCACAGTCTCATTTGGACAGTTTCAAAGGCTGGAGGATCTTGTGGAGGAACAGGACAGAATCAGTTTTGACAAAAGTCATAAATAGGGTTCTTAATTTGTCATTTTGGCCAAAGATAAGCAACACTATAAAGCTAAAAATATCCTCTGGCGAGGTAACATGAAGATGTTAAAGAGGAGTGGCACAATTGACCTAGCAAACAGAAATCTTCACCTGCGTGGTGCAATATACCTTAGCTAACATATTGTTACCGTTGGACTGCAAAGAAATGTGCATAAGAAATCTTCTAAAAATCCAAGCTCAAAGCTAAATGACACACTTAGCAATGAAGACACTGGGTCTAAAGCCAAAATCTTAAATTTCTGGATTACTCTGGGATGAAACATAGCAGAAATTCACACAGGAGATCTAGAATTATTGTGTTTATATCCTGGTCCTGTTTCTTCATCTTAGGCACATTGATACTTGCACATTTCCATTGGGGAGAAGCAAGATTCAAGCAGAAGGCTACATTGAACCAAGAGTTTTCATCCATTTAAAGACCACACAGGCAAAACATCTGCCATCTCTCTCAGAAACTGGAGTCGCAGGAAGTATATCAAACAGCATAGAAAATATTGCTCAGCCTTCCAACAGAAAGTAAAGGGCAAAATGGTACCACTTTGGAACCCACTGTGATCTTCAGTTTCAGAGCCAGTGCTTACAAAAGAGACACCAAATGTCTCAAAAAAAAAACTGTGTCCATAGGTTTTTGTTGCAACACAAGATGGTTGTACTGAGGCACATCCTAAATGTACACACAAGGCCATGGAAATATTTCACCTTTTACCACAAAATGCATAGCAACTATGTCTGTGAAAGCAAGATGAAAAGTATGGTTCTGGTGTATACTGAATACTGAACATGCCTTGCCCATTATTCCAAATGGTCACATAATAGCAGCAGTGAAGATCCTTTGTATGGAGAACAAATACGTTGAAGTTGGATGCATCTGTCTAGATGACGCAAGAAACTTTCACCCAGATACACATGGAGTTTTGCAAAGCAGATCCGTTTGATACACGTTTCAGAAAAAGTACAGGAGACACTGGTAATAACCAAGCTCCACAGTAAACTTGGAGCAGTTCTGCTGTTTCTTCTCTTGCCAACAGTTCCAATGTGCTTTTCAAGTTTACTTTTAATTGTTCTCAGAAAAATCTATTACATATCTTGCTGGGAAATAAGATATCCTACTTCAAATGGCAAGTGGGTAAAGTGGGGGCGGTGGGGGGGAACGAAATCAAGTGAATTCTGAATGGCTTTCACTTAATATTACTACAAACATCATCAAAGTTGGCAGCATTAAAGAATATTCCTGCATCGGAGCAGGTCATTTGGCCCAACAAATCTCATTCAAGTTTTTTGGTCAACAATAGAAAGAGCTAGATTATTAGACTACAGGGGTTATCAAAAACAAGCTTAACTTTATCGACTAATATACCTCCAGCAGGGGTCACTAAACATTGATTAGAGAGTCAAATTCGAACAACACAGAAACAAGTCATTCAGTCTCTTCAAATCTGCACCAGTATTTTTCTTTATATGAATATCTAGTCTAATCCCATCCTGTCATTTGATTCCCATAAACTTTATTTTTTTTTACTTTATAAAGCAATTATTCCAATTCTCCTCAAAATAATTTATGATATTTTCTCATCAAGCTGTTCATAGATGTTATAACATACCTGTGGAATAGGTGGGCTTGAACCAGGGCCTCCTGGTTCAGAGTTAGGGACATTAATGCTGCACCACAAGAGCCCCTCACAATAACTTATGGATTCAGCTTTAACAATTTGCAGCTGAGAATTCTACTCAGGCATAACAGCAAACACTTTTTATTTAGTAAATTTATCCTCATTGCTCACCATGTTGCCATCCTCACTTTTATCATCACCATTCATGACCTTCAAGATCTACATCAGACCACCCTTTAACCATCTCAGTTCAAATGATAAATCACCTCAATTTTGCTGATCTAATTTGAAATCGATCTTGTTGCCATATGAACATAGTACTAAGAAATGCATACGTTGCATTACAATATACGCATGTACAGAGCAATGAAATTTAATAAATGACCTTTGTAAATCAATCAATGAGTTGCTTTAAGTTTCTAAAGAAAACAAGGACAAAGAATATGAATGCAATCTAGCAAAAAACACAAAATGGACCATAAAGGCTTCTACAGGTATGTAAAAAGGAGACAGTTGGAAGCAAAAAAAAACAAGTGAGAGTCCACTAAATGTAGAGTCAAGAGAATTGAGAAATGACAGAAAAGCTAGAATACTCCTCCTCCCACCCACCTTCCTGCAAAAATGCTATCCCCTATTCCCAATTCCTTCGCCTCCGCCGCATCTGCTCCCAGGATGAGGCATTCCACTCCCGTACATCTCAGTTGTCCTCGTTTTTCAAGGACCGTAACTTCCCCTCCTCGGTGGTCGAGAACGCCCTCAACCGTGTCTCCCACATCTCCCGCACCTCATCCCTCACACCCCGTCCACGCAATAA